ATGTCTCACCAGAGCAAAGCAGCATGGAACAGTCCAGTGCAGGGCAGAACAGAGCTGTCTAACTGGAGAGGGGCCTAGCCCCAGACTATTTTCACAGCCATGCTGTGTCACAATTGAGCTGTTTGCACTGAAATTGAGCTGTTTGCACAGAATAAAGTTTCCTTCTTTGCTGCAGCCCAAGTTGGGGATTCCTTTGGTGTTGAATTGATGCCATCAACCTTCCGTCGCTATATGTTGGGCCCTAAGATGGTCCAGAGGTAAGACAGATGCTTGATCTCAAGGAACTCCATGCAGGTTAAAAGCAATGGATAGGGTATGGATTATGAAGACAAACTTCTGCAACAGAGAAGTGGCTATATGAGAAGAGCAACATGCTTGAGGAGTCAAGTAGAAAAAAGACAAATCAATTCCATATGGGGAAATCAATTCAACATATCTTTTTTTAGAAAAGATATGTTTTTATTGATTTTAGAGAGAAAGGAAGAGGGAAACATCAATGATGAGAGAGAATCATTGATCGGCTGCCTCCTGCACGCCCCTTACTGGGCATCAAACCTACAACCTGGGCATGTGCCCTGACCTGGAATCCAACGGTGACCTCCTGGTTCATAGGTTGATGCTCAACCACTGAGCCACGCCGGCCGGCTTATCAATATATATATATATTAGATTTATACATAAGTTTTATTATAGTAAGAAGTAGTTATTACAGTGAGATCTGCAAACATATACAGAATTATATTAAAACTAGAGGCCCGGTGCACAAAAATTTGTGCACTCGGGGGGGAGGGGGGGGTCCCTCAGCCTGGCTGTGCCCTCTCGCAGTCTGGGACCCCTTGGGAGATAACGACCTGCTGGCTTAGGCCTGCTCCCGGGTGGCAGAGGGCAGGCCCAATCCCTACGTGCAGCCCCTGGTTGGGCTCAGAGCAGGGCTGATTGGGGAGTTGGGGCGCCACCCCCTGTCATGCACAGAGCAGGGCGGATTGGGAGGTTGCGATGCCACCCTCAGTCACGCTCAGGGTAGGGCCGATTGGGGGGTTGGGGCACTGCCCCCTGTCACACTCAAGGCAGAGTTGATGGGGAGGTTGTGGCGCCACCCCGTCACGCACAGAGCAGGGCCCATCAGGGGGTTGAGGAGCTCCCCCCTGTCACTCACAGAGTAGGGCCAATAGGGGAGTTGGCACACCGCCCCCTGTCACACACAGAGCAGGGCGGATCAGGGGGTTGGGGCGCAGCCACTGTCACACTCAGGGGAGGGCCGATGGGGAGGTTATGGCTCTACCCCATCACACACAGAGCAGGGCCCGGGGAGGGGGGGTGGTTGGGGCGCCACCCCCTATCACCCACAGAGCAGGGCCGATCAGGGGGTTGGGGCGCCTTCACCTGTCACAAACAGAGCAGGGCCAATAGGGAGGTTGTGGCCCCGCCCCCTGTCACACACAGAGCCGCAGGGCGATCGGGGGGTTTGGGCGCTGCCCCCTGTCACGCTGATCCCGGTGCCGGGAGGCGTATTACCCTTTTACTATATAGAATAGAGGCCTGGTGCATGGGTGGGGCCGGCTGGTTTGCCCTGAAGGGTGTCCTGGATTAGGGTGGGGGTCCCCACTGGGTTGCCTGGCCAGCCTGGGTGAGGGGATGATGGCTGTTTGCAGCTGGTCACACACCCTTCAGGGTGGGGGTCCCCACTGGGGTGCCTGGCCAGTCTGGGTGAGGGGCTGAGGGCTGTTTTCAGGCTGGGACTGAAGCTCCCAACTGCTCCTTTTTTTCTTTTCTTTTTTATTCTGGGCCAGCTTTAGCTCTGAGGCTCCAGCTCTTAGGCTTCTGCTCCTGAAAGCAGGTATCTGGTTTGTTTCGGTCTCGAAACTCTGTATCAACTCCAGCTCTGAGATCCCAGCCGGCTGAAAGCTGGTTTCTAGGGTTTTATTTACCGTCTATATTTGTTACAATGTTTGAAACTGCAGGCTCAGAGGCTTGCAGCGGCCAGTGGGGAACGTTGGAGTCCTCCATCACTGAAGCAAGCAAGCCTCATGTTAGTTTCAAGCTGCCTGGTTCCCGGCCACCATCTTGGCTGGCAGTTAATTTGCATATCACCCTGATTAGCCAATGGGAAGGGTAGCGGTCGTATGCCAATTACCGTGTTTCTCTTTTATTAGTGTAGATTCATATAGAATAATATTTACATTTTTAAGTTACAACTTTTAAGTTAGAAGATGAAGTATAGCTTAAGTTTTACAACAAAGAAGACAAAAATACACAAGACAAAAATAGAGTTGACGGTGAAAATATATCTGTTCTTGATACGTGTGGAAACTTTCATCAGACAGCTACATCTTCTTAATCTGATTGCCCAAATCACTAAAATATGGATGAATCAGTGCCATTTTTCCCAAAATTCGTTTGACAGGATCATATACTAACATTTCCAAGAGAAGATCCAAGCATCTTTATCCAAGTTTTTGACTTGGGAGGACAGGCTTCCTGGTTTCCCCTGGGGAATGTAGTCTTAATGGCCTGTAAAGACTCCACGTCTGGCCACACATCATTGTTGGGGGTACCCAAGGCTCTGAAAATTCTGAAGCGTTGATCAATTCCTGAATCCCCATGGGAAAGCGGTTTCTTAGTTGCTAATTCTGCAGATATGGTGCCTATACTCCAAACGTCAACTGGAGTCGGATAGCGAGCTGACCCCAGCACCGCTTCCGGAGAGCTATTAGTGTGATCACCCCTAATAGGTATTCCAAACGCTCTGGCAAGGCCCAAATCAGTCAGTTTAATTGTACCTTTGTCATCAATCAATAGATTTTGAGGTTTTGAGTCTCTAGGACTCTTCTAGAGTGACAAAACACAATCCCTTGTAGGATTGGATACAAATAACCCTTAACAGGTGCAGAATCCATGAACTGACCAGGAGGGATAGAATCCAAGTATTTCTTTAGATCCATGGAAAGGTATGCAAAGGTGAGCTATAACCTGGAATCTTGCATGAGTACATCTTGAAGACTGACTAAATTTGGGTGACGAAGTTCTTTTAACAGAGAAATTTCCCTAATTGCTGTACTAGGAACCCCTTCCTCTTCACTTTCTAGTCTGATTTTCTTCATGGCTACTGTTTGACCTGTAGTTTTGTGTCTACCCTTACACACAACTCCATAGGTACCGTCTCCAATTTTCTCTATTTTGGTATAGTCTTCCATCGTCAATCAATAGCTATGGCTACCACGCCGGCGTCGCTCTGTCCTTAACTTCCCAGGCCCGGCTTGAAGCTAAGCGCCTCAACAGGTATCGTGAGTGAACATGATTCTAAAAGTGTTTTAGGTGGCGAGGTCACTGTCAGAACTTCACGGGAGAGGGAGGCAAGACAGCACAGCACGTCCCACCACCCGCACAGTCACGGCGCTGCTGGGGGCGGGGGGTGCGCACCGCGGCGGCGCCCGCTCTCCGCACGGGAAGGCTCGGGGAGAGCGGCCACTCCGCCGCCCAGCGCGATGCCGGCGCCGGGGATCGCCGGCTAGCGCCTTCCGCCGACCACCGCCCCTTAAACAGGAGGGGGTTCCCCCGCGAGCACCGTGAGGAAAGGAGAAGAGCTCACCCCCCGCTCCGCGAGCAGCAGGACGCAGGACTGTTTCCAAGGAAACAGTCATTGGTTCCCAGGCCGAGATCTCGCGGGGCTTGAGCTGCGGAAGTGACGTGGCCGCTGCCTGGCCTTCCGGCGGCTCCCGGCGCCCACCCCAGAGCGAGGCTCCTTCCCGCGCGGGCCGCTTGCTCCTCGGAGCCCGGGGGAACATGGCCTCGGCCCTGGAGCAGTTCGTTAACAGTGTCCGGCAGCTCTCGGCGCAAGGTGAGGCCCGGCGGCCCCGCAGCCCCCGCCGCTCGCCCGAGCCGGGGCCCGGGGCTGGGCTCGAGGCTGCGGCGCGTAGGCCCGGACGGGATCGGCGCGGCCGAGCGGGAGCCGCCCCTCGCGCGCTGGGCTCCCGGCCTCCCGTCCTCCCGGCCCGGGGCCTCCGGGACCTCCCGCTCCCCCGCCCGCACCCCCGGACGCCCCTTCCACCCGGCTCTGCGCTTGACACTTGGGGGCGGTGACTTCCGTTGGCCGCCTGCGCGGGCGCCCGTTGGCCCCGGCAGCCTCGCTCGCCCGCGGTGATTGGTGCCCTGGCGCCCGGCCCGCGGCGCCCGGGGAGCCCGTCCTGGGAGCCCGGGCTGCAGGCCCGCGGCCGGCCGGCGCCCCGAGCCCCCGCGCCCGTGTTCGCCCTGCGGAGGCCGGACGAATTAATCTTCGTGCTTTCGGGTTCATTCATCTCATCACGATGGACCCTGGGCTCTGAATTAAGTAGTTCGCTGCTGGCTGGAAGGCCCCTGTCACCCTCCCGCGTCTTCATCTGTAGATGAAGTCAGTCCGCATCCCACGGGGTGGCAGGGCTGAGAGGAGCGAGGGAAGGCGCCCGTCCAGGGGCGCAGTGACTAGTGCTCGTGGGGCGGCCGTGGGGTGTAAGTTCGGGGCCGCGTGGCCGTGGGCAAGTCCCCTTCGGGGCCAGTCTCCCCACTTCCCTCGGCCCGCTGCTGCCGGAAGGCCCCCTGTGCAACAGGGAGAGGGCCGAGCGCGGGGCTTCTGTCTCCCGTCCCGTGTGTTTATAGACGTTAGGCTCGCAGGTGAGGCACAGGCCTTGAGTCTGGGAATGAAGACACCGCCATTCATTAGGGCACGGACACTCCGTTTCTGTTTTCGGGGCCGCAGCGCGTAGAAGGTTGGGTTGGGAGCCTGCCTCGTTCACTTCGTGTCCTGGCCACTGCCTTCCTCTGGCGGTGGAGCCTCCAGCGGCATCACTCACCGGAAGCTCTGCCCGCATGCTCTGTGCACGGCTGCCGGGCGGAGACAGGACAGAGGCCGCTGCCGCTGCCGCCCTCCACGCGTGCACCGCCCCGCGTGCACCAGTGCATGTGGATGAGGGTCTGCTTTCTCTGCTCTCGTTGAGAACTTCTTAACATGGAGCTTAAATGAAGGGACAGAGGAAATCTCACTGCCACATCTCTAGCTGGGCTCATGTCAGTGACACTTACACTTACTGTGGACTCTCCCCGGCAGTAGTTGACTCTCATGATTTCATAATGGCCCAGCCTTTAAGTCTCAGCTCGGCATTGATTATTTAATGGGCTGAAATGCTTATTTCTGGGTGTTCCAAGTCATTGTAAACTTATTTCAAGTAGTGGGTTTAAAAGGGGGCGATCATTTAACTGGAAGATGATGATGCGTATTCATACAGACCAGTGAGGTCTTTAATAAAGTGATAGTGAGTCGGTCTTTCCCAGTTCAACTTGTATTATTGTCTTGAAAAATGATACCTTATAGATCATGGAAAGACAGCTAGTGAGGTTTGAGAGTATCTATGGTATGTCTGTTATTAGAATAACCTGTTAAAATTGGTAAGCTAGTTCAGAGTACCAATTTGGGCCTAATTAGATTCTATACTTTTGTTATAACATTGTGATATAAGAGAAAGAAAAATGGGTCTTAGATTCATCAAGCTGCTTGTTGATTGATTGGCTGCATAAAAACTGTATTATTAAGCTGGAGAAGGGACTCTCTTCACCTGAGTTTATGCTGAATTACCTACTCTCAGGTGATGGGGAGCGGACAGATAGCCAACCAAGTTAGCCTCGGGAAAGCAGGGTGGGTGAGGGTCCCGGGAAGACCAGGCAGACTGTAGAGCAGAGTGTGAGGCAGGTAGAGGAGGACATGGGGGAGAAGCGTGAAGGGAGGGATGCTCAGCGCGGAGAAAAGCAGGTGTAGGGGCACAAAGGTGAGAGGACAGGGAGTGTCGATTGACTTTTGAGCTTGTCATGACCAAGACGAGGTGTGTGAAGGGAAGTAGCAGGACACAGGGCTGGGGAGGCACAGACCAGTCACTGGGCTGAAGCACGTGGACGTCTTAAAGCCACTGGGGTGATTTGGTTGAATTTTTCATTTAGAAAGACCGCACAGGTGCCAGTGTGGAAGATGGGCTGGAGGAACGAGTGGGCATTGAGAAGGGTTATGATGTAGTTCAGATAAGAAATAAGGATATGAATTAAGTCAGGGGACAGCGAAAGGAAGTAGAAGGAAATCGTCTTTGGTGACATTTGGATACAGAGAGGGAGCAGGGAGTGGTAGTGATAGTGTGTGTACTTTTCTGGCTTGGGGAGCCAGAGGAAGGAACGGAGGGAATGGAGAAACTTTCAGGGGGCAGAGGGATGTGGGCGTCTAGTTCATTTCACTCCTCTGGCCCTTCTCGGCCCTCATCTGAAATGAAGGCGATACAAGGAATAATCTTCAGGTATTTCTGCTCTGGGGTATGAAGTCTGGTTGTCCTACCTTTGGATTGGTTAGTACTGTAACTGAGTGACACAGTGTTATTCCTGTTTTTCAGGGCAGATGACTCAGCTTTGTGAGCTGATCAACAAGAGCGGGGAACTCCTTGCAAAGAACTTATCCCATCTGGACACCGTGCTTGGGGCTCTGGACGTACAGGAGCACTCCTTGGGCGTCCTTGCTGTTCTGTAAGGGCCATCTTCTCTGCTGGTTTTGTGCTTTCTGAAACTGAACTCTGTGCACTTTCTGACTTTTTTTTTGGTGCAAGGAAGTAAGCCATGTAATCAACATGGGGCTCTTTTGCACAACTAGCGTCATGTCATCGTAGTTATGTTTCACTTATCCCTACTAATCGTTTTTAACTCTTGTTTATATTTATACGCATTTTGAAATTTATTTTAAAAAATGAATGGCCATCTCACTTGTGGGCACTAGAGTTTGTATTTATCTGAATACGTTATTTATGTAGTCCCTTGGATCGCCCACATTTCCTAGCGTGGAATAAAGTGGGAAGAGTGATGAAGCATGGCAGGGCGGTGTGTACTGAGTGCGATCACCAATGCCCAGAAGCAACATTGCTTTGAATTCTCTTCAACTTTTTATTAAATATATATTTTTACTGATTTCAGAGAGGGGGAGAAACATTAATGATGAGAGAGAATCATCGATCGGCTGCCTCCTGCACACTCCCCACCAAGATCCAGCCCGCAACCTGGACATGTGCCCTGACCAGGAATCTAACCATGGCCTCCTGGTTCATAGGTTGGCGCTCAGCCACTGAGCCACATCAGCTAACAGGTTTAAGCTGTTTGAGATCAAGTTAAATAGACCTGTTTTAATTGGGTTCCTTGTAACTCTTGGTACCTTACAGTAGAATTACTTTTCTCTTGATGTTTTAGTATTGGGAAGTTAAAGTTGTTGTGAAAGTTGTAATAATATAAATAAACTGAGAAGAACTAAGAGCGAGGGTCTGGCTTTACTTGGACTGGGATTCCTGAGACAAAGGTAGGGTCAAGAATAGAGTTTAGAGAAAAAATTCAGGATGAAAGGGTCTAGAGCAGGGGTGGAGAGGAGATCCTTTTTTCTGCCAAGGGCTATTTGGATATTTATAACATTTGCGGGCCATACAAAATTATGAACTTAAAAACTAGCCTGCTGTATTTGGTCAGACATTTAACTCATCCCTAATGCCTTGGCAGGGCCAGACCAAATGATTTCATGGGCCGGGTGTTCCCCACCCCTGGTCTAGCGCCTTGCTCTGCAGTGTAGTAGCCACTAGCCACATCTATGTAAATTAGTTTTAAAAAGTTAAAGATTCAGTTCCTCAGTTGTACTACCCACATTTTTGCAGAAAGCTCTGTGGGATGCGCAGGCTAGGAAAGGCTTCCTTCCACTGTCTGTGTTCACCGATTAAAAGGACAGCGTGCATGCTATACCTTTTTTATTCATTGGGGCTTCCCCCCCTTTTTAGCATGCATGTTTTATACACACAAACTCACATGTATGTACGGGGTGGGCAAAAGTAGGGCTACAGTTGTGAGTACACAAAACAGTTTCTTCTTGTATTTAAGTAAAAGAAAACCTGCCCTGGCCTTGTTTCTGAGTACCCCGGATTTGAATTATGTTCCTTCATTATTAGGTACGGGGTCCCAAGTTTCATGTTTTTATTTATAAAATGGAAATGACAGTGCCTTATTAATTTATTGTAAAGCCCTGATGAAATTTATTCAGACATACTTGATAATGGGGAAGGAAGTACAGTGACAGATAATGTTAAGTCAAGTAATACTGAACTGGATAGAAGTACAAATTGAAAGATTTTAGAGAAATTGTGAATAGGCAAAACTATCCATTTCATTTTTCTTGAAATTAGTTTCAACAGTTCATTTTTTTACTAAAAAGAAGAGCTTGAAGTTTACTTGTGAGCAGTGCCTTAGTGGTGGTAGCTTATGTGATTTCTTCCCCAAACCTATCTTCGAACCTTCCGTCTCTGCCCCCCCACCAGAATGTTTATCGTGGGCAATTGTAAGGCACCGTCTGCCAAGGGCATCAGGATGGATCATCTGAGTCCTCCCTCTTCCCAGCACCTCCAGTTCTTCCCGTCCTGCTCCTCAGCTAGTGCTTTCTCCCAGAGGGACCCCAGCATCGCCCATCCTGGCCGTAGCCTTCTGTGGTCCACAGCTCTGCTTCCTTGTCCGCTCTTCAGGGCAGGAAAGGCAACAGCTGGCTTTTAAAATGAGTCAATAGTCCTGACCACATTGGAGCTGAAAAGAAAAATATCTTCTTAAACTTTTGGTTATAAGTTTATATTGAGTTCCTTCACAAATAGTAGGAAGACTTGATATTTAGCCCCATTTAATGGAATTTTTCTTTTTTTAAAAAAAATATTTTTCATTGATTTCAGAGAGGAAGGAAGAGGGAGAGAGAAACATCCATGATGAGAGAGAATCATGGATTGGCTGCCTTCTGCAAGTCCCCCACTGGGGATCGAGCCCACAACCCGGGCATGTGCCCTTGACCGGAATCAAACCTGGGACCTTTCAGTTCACAGGCCAACACTCTATCCACTGAGCCAAACCAGCTAGGGCTGGAATTTTTCTTTTTAAAAGCTGTTCTTTTCTAAGCATATTTTTCTTTCTTTTTTTAAAAATCTATGTTGTGTCTTGATTGTGCAAACAAACAAACAAAAAAACAGGCCAGGAAAATCTCATAGATCCTGTTTCTTAATTTTTAAAAATACTGAGACACATTTAATTCACAGAGCATTGGAGATAGGATGGATTTCTGACCTCAGTTGCTTCTACATTTTTACCCCATGAAATATCAAGGTAAATTGATTTTTTCCCTTTATTCCAGATTTGTGAAGTTTTCTATGCCCAGTGTTCCTGACTTCGAAACATTATTCTCACAGGTTCAGCTTTTTATCAGTACTTGTAACGGGGAGCACATTCGATATGCAACAGACACGTGTAAGCTAAACTGCATTTTGCTATTTTCCATTGAATGTATTTTGCCTGTCTAGTCATTTATATTTTTAATATTTTGTTATTGTATCTAGTTGCTGGGCTTTGCCATCAGTTAACAAACGCCCTTATGGAAAGAAAACAGGTAAGCAATGTTATCCAAGTGTTTGTAGTTCTGTTATAACATACTAGGTGGGGTGCCTCGGCCTGGCCGTGCCCTCTCGCAATCTGGGACCCCTTGGGGGATGTCAGACTGCTGGTTTCAGCCCGATCCCCTCAGGCCAGGCCCAGGGACCCCACCCGTGCATTCACCGGGCCTCTAGTATGCATATAAGATCTTTGGTTAATCTCTTCCTGTCCTTCCCCCTCCCCCCTTTCCCTCTGAGATTCATCAGTCTGTTCCATGTTTCCATGCCTGTGCGTTATGCCTCTGCCCCCTGGTGGTCAGTGCGTGTCATAGCGAACGGTCACTTAGGCTTTTAGATAGATAGATAGATAGATAGATAGATAGATATCTAACTTAGACAATAATTAATTTGTTAAGGTTCCAGGTTAGTACTAAGAGTCCTACCACTTAGATGTAGGTGGTCGCTTCAAGTACTCATAGCGTTTGCGGTAAGGACCGCTAGTCCCTCCGCAGGTGTAGACTCCAGTGTGGGGAGGCCAGCCTCTGAGGCTGCAGCCAGTGGTAATGGTTTTGGAGCTCCCATTCTAGTATCCTTTGCGTGATAATATGCTGGGTTTTGTTTGCTAAAACTTTTAATTGTAACATAATTTTAGCTTTATAAAGAGTTGCAAGAATAATGTAAACAATTCCCATATACCATGCACCCAGATTCTCCAGATATTAATATCTTCCCACAGTTGCTTATCCTTTTCTCTCTCTTTTTTCCTGAGCCATTGGAAAGTAAATTGCAGATAGGATGGCCCTTGAGTGTTGCCTAAAATATAGGACATTGTCTTATATAACCACAATACGAAGATCAGCATCAGGAGATGAACATTGATATCATTCTTTAACAAATATACTGACCTTACTCCCATTTTGCCAGTTCTTTATTAATTTATTTATAACAAAAGAAAATTGCAGTTCGTGGGTTGTGCTACATTGTCACACAACTTTTATTTCCTTTAATCTGGAACAGTTCTTTGGTCTTTCTTTAATTTTGTGATATTGACACAAGTTATAATTTAGGTGTTTCTCTTTTATTTGAAATTGAACTTTAAGACTAGTTGTTTGAAGGAGACTGAAACAGAAATAAACGGTTGGTATTTGTAGGAGGACTGAGTACGTGGTGGTTTGAAAGAGAGGGCTAAAAACTGCCAGCAGCCTTTACTGGAAAACCCTTTACAGTCAATCAGCACTTCAGTCACAGCTCCTGTCCAGAAACTGGCTGTGCCTCCCTGGAAGCTCAGCCTTGTTAGTTATAATCAGGGCAGGAAAGGCCCCTTTATCACTGGCCGTCTCAGCTTCGGGCGTAATTTATTACCCGGTAAGAGATGATGTTAGAGAACGTTTCCAGGTGATGCCCAGCGACCCGAGGGGAAAATGTCAGCGTCCTTGAACACAGTTACGTTTACTAAGCGTAGGCTGGCATCTGTTTTAAATGATTTGTTTGTTTAGATGTAAATATAATGAACTGTTGAGAAAGTAATGTTGCTTTTGATTATTTATCTTCATTGTAAAAAAGGCTCTATGGTTTTAAAAATGGTGCTGAATTACTCTAAATAGCATAAGAACCAGCGTAAGGAAACATTTTCTGACTGAATTGGGACAGTCCTGGAAGAGTATGGAAACCTCATGTTGTCATTCAAGGAACTTGTCAGTTAGTGTTATTTTTTATTTGTAAGTGACAAGCTAAGATCCATGTGCTGCCATCTCTGAGAACTTACCTGAAAGATGTCATTTCTGACAGCCCCTGCGAGGAATTGGCATCCTCAAGCAAGCCATAGACAAGATGCAGATGAACACAAACCAGCTGACCTCAGTACATGCCGATCTCTGCCAGGTAAGCAGCAGTGTTAGACCGGGTCGGGGATGGAAGGTTGGTGGTAGGTTTGCTCAACATCAGATTGGATAAATGAAGGCAGTTTGGTGGAAACTGATATGTCCTAGCAGTTGGAATGTATAGGTACCTCTATCTATAGAAAGAGAATTTTCAACAGTTTTTGGATACAAACTATAGAACAGTGCTCAGTTAGTAGGCTTGGTAGAACAGAGTAATTAATGCTTGTGACATTTAAAAAATACCAAGTTATTTTCTTTTTTAAGGAATTTTGGAACCTGAGAATAAACACAGGTAACTTTACACCTTAAAATGTTATTTGTTTATTTTATTGTGCATGGTTCAAAATCCAGCAGACAAAATGCATCTCCCTGCCACCCTGCCTCCCAGCCACCTCTCTCTCCAAAGGCAGCCATTGTTAGCAGTTTCTTGTTTATCCTTCCAAAGATATTTTATGAATGTACAAGCAAATATGTCTATTTTTTCTCTCTTTTTATTTAATCTTCACCGGAGGAAATGTTTTTATTGATTTTAGAGAAAGAGGAAGGGAGAGAGAGAAACATTGATCGGTTGTCTCCCATTCACACCCAACCGGGGATCAGACCTGTAACCTAGGTATGTGCCCTGACTGGGAATTGAACCTGCAGCCTTTCAGTGTACGAGTTAGTGCTCCAACCAACTGAGCCACCTGGCCAAGGCTGTCTCTTTGTTTATACAAATTGTAATAATTTGTATGAATAAGTATATACGGTACATTGCTTTTTGCTTTTTCCCCCCTTGCTTTTTTCTACTTAATGTATCTATTTTTTGTTGTTTTGTTTTGTTTTTGTTAATTCTCACCCAAGGATATTTTTCCATTGATTTTTAGGGAGAATGGAAGAGAGAGGGAAAGACAGAGAGAAACATCGATGTGAAAGAGACACATCGATTGGTTGCCTCCTGCACGCGCCCTGACCAGGGCCCAGGCCGGGGAGGAGCCTACAACCAAGGTATGTGCCCTTGACCGGAATCAAGCCCAGGACCCTTTGATCTGCAGGCCAACTGAGCCAAACCGGTTAGGGCAATGTATCTTTTTTTTTTTTTTTTTTAATATGGTTTTTTATTATTGATTTTAGAGGGAGAAGGAGAGAGAGAAAAACATCGATGTAAGAGGGTAACATCGATAGGCTGCCTCCTGCACACCCCCTATTGGGATGGATCCCTTAACGGGTATATGCCTTGACCAGGAATTGAACCAGCAACCTTTCAGAGCATGGGACAACTCTCAACCAACAGCCACACCGGCCAGGGCTCTACTTAATGTATCTTAGAGATGGTTCCATATCAGTGGTTTATAGCTGCAGAGTATTTCATAATACGGGTTTAACCAGTCCCGATAGGGTATTGAGATTATTTCCTTAATGAATAACATGGTTTGTGGATTATTTTAATCACGTGTTCTAGTTTCAGTGAAGGTGTGCTTTTCCCATTTTTTCTTTCTTTCCATCTTTTAAGAAACGTTTGTGATTGGTGTATAAAATGCACACAGTGCTCTAGTGGTAAGTGAACAGCCAGCTCAGGGGGTTGGTACCTTGTCTGCACCTGTGCCACCTCCCCCACATACAGGACATTGCCATGTACTTGCACAATTCCTTACACTTATGTAAAGGATTTAGAAATTGAAAAAGTATAATTAAAGAAAAAACCTCCATTTTTAATCATAGCATGCTGATCTATTTCTCTGTGATTAGTTTGTGCATCTGTAAACAGAATGGTTACTAAGTGAATTGTTAGCTGAACTTTAATTCATTTGTGGGGTACTGAATCTCATGGTTGGTTCATCTTTTATAAAGAAGTGCTATTTTTACCCTAACCTGTTTGGCTCAGTGGATAGAGCGTCAGCCTGCGGACTCAAGGGTCCCGGGTTCGATTCTGGTCAAGGGCATGTACCTTGGTTGCGGGCACATACCCAGTAGGGAGTGTGCAAGAGGCAGCTGATCGATGTTTCTCTCTCATCGATGTTTCTAACTCTCTACCCTTCTCCCTTCCTCTCTGTAAAAAACCAATTTAAAAAAAAAAAAAGTGCTATTTTAGCCCTGCTGGCGTGGCTCAGTGGTTGAGCGTTGACCTGTGAACCAGAAGTCAGGGTTCAATTCCCAGTCAGGCACATGCCCAGGTTGCTGGCTCATGGGGGGCGTGCAGGAGGCCATCGATCAGTGATTGTCTCATCATTGATATCTCTCTCTCCCTCTCCCTTCGTCTCTGAAATCAATAAAAACATATATTTTAAAAAACAACAACAAATGCTACTTTATTCTGAATGCTTAAGAAAGCAGAGTAATATGTTGATATGCAGACCCTTTTAATCAATAAGTTAAATGTGAAAATGTAAAACAATATTTTCTTGAACTTTTTGGAGTCTATGAATCTGCTGCTTCTGCTAAAGCTTGCCAGAGTACAATTAAAGTGACAATTTAATACAAATATGTTTTCACAGCTTTGTTTGCTGGCAAAATGCTTTAAGCCTGCCCTTCCATATCTTGACGTGGACATGATGGATATTTGTAAAGAGAATGGAGCCTACGATGCAAAGCACTTTTTATGTTACTATTATTACGGAGGCATGATCTATACTGGGCTGAAGAACTTCGAAAGAGCACTCTACTTTTATGAGCAGGTAATCTCATCTCTAGGGGTGTTTTGAACTTGTGTGGTCAGAGTGCCCACCTGGAGCAGATTGATTTCAGGCTCAGTACCAGGTGGAGGTCCTGTCAAAGACCCCTTCTCAGTCACCATGTGGACCAAGCCTGTCAAACTCACAGGCTAACACGGGCCAAATAAACAAGTTGTTAGTGTATGTGGCCGCAAAAAAAAAAATAAAAGCTTCAATTTTCATAGAAACGTAGGTTTATTTCCATAGAGACATGCTGAATACAAAGGGGTGAAATAAATGAGTCATCGTTAACATAAAATGATAGAACATTTTAATAAAAATTAACATTTTGTCTTGAACATTAACTTACCAGACACTGAACAACTGCACAAATTAATAAGCGTCACACAAACCTATTTTTCTTGTTCTCCGAAAGTGAAATACTTCCTGTTGCGCACACCCAACAAGTCAGTACAAGACTAATGACGTGGCCATCGGCTGCTAAAATATTCGCTGCTGGTATCAGTGGAGAGAAATGGTGCGCCCGCGCGTAAGGCGTGTGAGGGAAATGAATGCAACATGATTATGTATAGTAATCAGTCATTAGCGAATGTTGTAGTTTGTTATTAATAAGTATGTATAACAGGATATTGTAAAAATTATGTTACAAAATTTTTATTTAAACGTTTCTTACATACCATTATATTGGCTGGGCCTCAAAAATACTCGTGTGGCCCGCATGCAGCCTGAGGGCTGCGAGTTTGACGTGGTTGGTGCCCATGGTGGTGGTTTGCTCCTTCAGTTGAAGGGCATTGGCCGTGGAGGGAGGAGCGCTGCTGGTGGGGTCTGAGCCAGGCTTTGCCACTGATACCGTCTAATCTGGCTTCCGTTGTAAACGTCTCTACCTTTGCACGTAGGTAAGAGTTTGAACTGGATGATATTTGAAGTGTCTTGTTCTAAAACCATAAGTAAAATATTCTCATGGTTGAAATTCAAAGGATATTAAGTATGCACAGTGGAAAATCCCCGCCCCTGTGTCTGTCTGTAATGGCCACTGGAGTATGTAGTGTGACACTGCACAGCTTGGTGCAATAGTCTGGAGAGGTTTCCTTAGAGTCTGAGAGGGAGAACGCAGTGCAGGGGGGCAAGTGTAGGTGTCCAGCTCTGAGTACACGAAACAGTTTATTCTTGTATTATTATTTATTAATTATTGTATTAACTTCTACATGAACTGTAAACATATTTTTGCCCCATCCTGTATTGGCTAATTCTAGTATTTTAAGATGTTTATTAGATGTCAGTTCTTATTTTATTCATAGCACATATTAAAATAATAAAGGATATTTAAACCTTTAAGGAGCTTACCATTGAGCTGAAATACTAACATTTAAATACACACGCACACATCTGTGACTGAGCATTGTCTCCGTGAGTGGGGGTTGATAAGTACCACCAAGAGAACCTAGGAAAGGGTCACCAGAAGGCAGGTAAAATCTTCTCCAAGAGTACACAGTCAAAAATTTCCGTTCTGCCCAGCCTTGTGGCCTAGTGGTTGAGGGTCGACCCATGAGCCAGGTCTCGGTTGGATTCCCAGTCAGGGCACATGCCTGGGTTGCAGGCTTATTCCCCAGTGTGGGGCTTGCAGGAGGCAGCCAGCTGATCGCTGATTCTCATCATTGATGTTTCTATCTCTCCCTTTCCCTTCCTCTCTGAAATCAATAAAAATGTATATTTTTTAAAAATTCAGTTCTTCAGAAAATTATAAACACACTTCATAGCCACTGACTGCATTATCATTGTACAGCCAGGTATAAGTGATTAGCATACTGATCTAGAAATATCAAGATGATAGGCAATGTACTTAGAAAAATATTTCCATCAAATAGTTAAAATATTAAAAACAAACTTTTTCTTTTTTTTTTTCCCAGAGAGGAAGGGAGAGGGATAGAGAGTTAGAAACATCGATGAGAGAGAAACATCGACCAGCTGCCCCCTCACACCCTCTACTGGGGATGTGCCGGCAACCAAGGTACATGCCCTTGACCGGAATCGAATCTGGGACCCTTCAGTTTGCAGGCCGACACTCTATCCACTGAGCCAAACCGGTTAGGGCCAAACTTTTTATATTTATAGGTGGAAGCCTTTTACCTGAAAATGTAGTTATTCCATGATTAACCCTAAGGACAAGCATTGTTTAGTATTAGTCTACTCCACACCACTTTGTGTGTTTTTTGTTGTTGTTGTAAGTCCTCACCTGAGGATATTTTTTTCATTGATTTTTAGAGAGAGTGGAAGGGAGGGGGAGAGACAGCAAGAGAAACATGGATAGAGAGACGCATCCATTGGTTGCCTCCTAGGGCCAGGGATCCTTCGAGCCTGCAGCTGAGGTATGTGCCCTTGACTGGGATCAACCTGAGACCCTTCAGTCTGCAGGCCAACGCTCTATCCACAGCCAAACCGAATAGGGCAAGCCGCTGTATTTTAATAATATGTATGCCATTATAGATGGTATTAGTACCTTAATTTCAGAAGGTGATACCGATTATTTTACTGCTTCAAAAAAATTCCAAAAGAAGGATGTACATATTGAAAAAAATTCAGTATAGCATTGTATAAAGCACAAAGCGAAAGCACCTTCATCTCCTCATAGTGCACCACAGACTGGCCCAGGTAGTTGACTAGTCCTCGATGGATAGAACTGAGAGTTGATTCTGTTCTTTCACTGCGAAGCAGGTTGCAGTGGGGGTCATACTTGTATTCTCGTGTGCTGAGGTGACTGTTTCTGTAGATAATCTCAAAGAAGTGCCTCATAGGCTCAATGGTTTGAGTTTTGATGTGAAATATTGGGTTGATTGGGTGTGATAGTTTTCAGTTCTTAACCTTCACGAATCCAAGTGAGAAAGTGAAAAGGCAGCCGCAGAACGGGAGAAATATTTGCAGATCATGTTTATAAGGGACTTTCATCCAGAATATACAGAGACCTCTTAATAAATCAACAGTAAAAACAAAAATTTCTAAATGGACAATCGACTTGCATAGGCATTTCTCCAAAGTTATACAAATGACCAATAAGCACATGAAAAGATACCCGTCAACATTAGTCATCAAGGAAATACAGATCAAAAGCATTCTGAGCCCTAACTGGTTTGGCTCAGTGGATAGAGCGTCGGCCTGCGGACTCAAGGGTCCCAGGTTCGATTCCAGTCAAGGGCATGTACCTTGGTTGTGGGCACATCCCCGGTGGGGAGTGTGCAGGAGGCAGCTGATCGATGTTTCTCTCTCATCAATGTTTCTGGCTCTCTATCCCTCTCCCTTCCTCTCTGTAAAAAAATCAATAAAATATATTTTTAAAAAAAGCATTCTGAGACACCAATTCATACTTGCTAGGGTGACTGCATTAAAAAGACGCCAGTAATGATAAATGTTAGTGAGGTGTGGAGGATTTGGAGCCCTCACAGTTGCCAGTGGAATTATAAAATGGCACAGTCACTTTGAAAAAAGAATTGGGAATGCCTCCAATGTTAAACATAGAGTTACCGTGTCATGCTGCAGTTCTACTCTTAGGAATATATACCCAAGAGAATGAAGACAAATGTGCACACAAAAGCGTGTACTCAAGTGTTCAGAGCATCATTATTTAGTGGCCAAAGGTAGAGACACCCCAATGCCATCAACTGAGGAGCGAATAAACAAAGTGTCACACACCCGTGCAGTGGAATGTCACCCAACCATAAAGTGGAATAAGGTGTCAGCAACATGGATGAACCTTCACCAGTGAAGCAAGTCACAGAGGCAACATATTTATGATGCCACATTAGGCTAATCCATAGAAACATAAATAGAGCCGAAACCGGTTTGGCTCAGTGGATAGAGCGTCGGCCTGCGGACTGAAAGGTCCCAGGTTCGATTCCGGTCAAGGGCATGTACCTGGGTTGCGGGCACGGCCCCAGTGGGGGATGTGCAGGAGGCAGCTGATCGATGTTTCTCTCTCATCGATGTTTCTAACTCTCTATCTCTTTCCCTTCCTCTCTGTGGAAAATCAATAAAATATATTTAAAAAAAAAGAAAAAAAAGAAACATAAATAGAACAGCGATTGCCTGGGGCCGAGGGGAGGAGAGAATGGGGTGTTGCTGCTGGTGGAGATGGGACTCCTTTTGTGATGGGATGGAATGTTCTGAATTAGGTAGTGGTGAATGTACTAAAACCACTGAATCGCGTACTCTAAGAGGGAAAATGTTTATGTGCATTGTATCTTACTAAACATGTTATAAAGAAAATGGGACATTGAATGTAAGTATTGTTTTATAATTCAAGTGATACCTGTAGTTGATTGTTCTTCCCTGCTGCGGTGTACTGTCTTCACATTCAGTATTCTTCTCTTGCTCAGGCTATAACTACCCCTGCCATGGCGGTCAGTCATATCATGTTGGAATCATATAAAAAGTATATTCTAGTTTCTTTGATATTACTTGGAAAAGTACAACAGCTACCAAAATATACATCTCAAATTGTGGGTAGATTCATTAAGGTGAGTTTTTAAAATAAAACTGATTTCTTAAGTCCTTAAGGAAATGGAAAGATACATGGTTGTATAAGTTTATTTTATACTGATTTAGTTCTCCCACCAGCTTCAATTTAGCGGACATCTGTTAACTGTCTGCAGGGAGCCTGGGGGCAGCAGTTCTGGTAGAACCCTAATGTCACTGCTATTCAGACGCCTTCTGATCAGGGATTGGAGCAGCGTGTCTCTCAGGAACCTGTTTTCAGACTTAGAGCTGTAGGTGTTTGAGCTCCAATAAGGGTTGATTTTTTTTCTTCATTACAATTTAGTGAGATGCTGGAAAAGCAATGCTGACTTATTGAGCTCTCAATTGGCACGTGCTGGGAGATCGTGTGAAGACCACGGTTCTGCTCACGAACTTGTGTGTTCCTTGAGAACCCAGCTTTGGGATCACATTAAAAAATAAATTAACTCTTTTAAAAAATATTTTGAAATGCATGCTCATGATTTTAAAAAATTTGAACAGCCCTGGCTGGTGTGTTTTAGTGGTTGAGCATCAACCCATGAACCAGAAGGTCAGGGTTTGATTCCTGGTCAGGGCACATGCCCAGGTTGCAGGTTTGATCCCCAGTTGGGGGTGTGCAGGAGGCAACTGATCAGTAATTCATCATCGATGTTTCTCTCTCCTTTTCCCTTCTCTCTCAGATCAATAAAAACACATTTTATTTTTTTTTAATTTTTTTTTAAATATATTTTATTAATTTTTTACAGAGAGGAAGGGAGAGAGACAGAGAGCTAGAAACATCGATGAGAGAGAAACATCAATCAGCCGCCTCCTGCACACTCCCCGCTGGGGATGTGCTCGCAACCAAGGTACATGCCCCCGACCGGAATCGAACCTGGGACCTTTCAGTCCTCAGGCTGACGCTCCATCCACTGAGCCAAACCGGTTTCGGCAAAAAAAACACATTTTAAAAAATGGAACAATTTAAAAGATTGTGAGGTGACAATCTTTTTTTTAAACACAATCCTCACCCAAGGATATTTTTTCCATTGATTCCTAGAAAGAGTGGAACAAAGGAAGGGGGGAGAGAGAGAGATGAATATTGATGTGTGAAAGCACATTGATTGATTGCCTCCCACGCGCGCCTCTAATGGGGCTGGGGAACCTGCCACCAAAGTACATGCCCTTGACTGGGAATCGAACCCGAGACCCTGATCACAGCAAAACCGGCCAGGGCAGGTCACAGTCATTTTAATAACAGTTTTACCCTGTTTGTCCCCGTACAAAAGTCAGATCAGGGTGTCAGTTTGAAAGTCTTCCTGGAGAGAAGATGCTTATGTGGTCTTGAAGAGAGCCCGTGCTCTCCACCTGAGAGCCTGTCGTGCTTCTCAAGCTCTAGGCTGCCTGGTCACAGGCTGGTGTTGGCAGCAAGGTGGGTAAGAGATCCCATGGAAGAAGGAGGCAGGATAGTGTTAGGGTTGCCATTCGCAGATCATTTTGGAGAACTCCCGTGGTTCCTTTAGGTGGCCCTGTTTTGGAAGGAATGCTTTGATTTTTTAAATTTTATTTTAAATATGCTTTTATTGATTTTAGAGAGGAAGAGGGAGGGAGAAAGCGATAGAAACATCAGTGATGAGAGAGAATCATTGATCAGCTACCTCCTGCACACCCCCTACTGGGATTTGAGCCCGAAACCCAGGCATGTGCCTGACCGGGAAGTGAACCATGACCTCCTGGTTCACGGGTTGACGCTCAACCACTGAGCCACACTAGCTGGGCAGGAATGCTTTCCTAAAGTGGCATAATTCCACACGCATTAGTAGTTTATTTATGATGGTGTCATAACTGGTTGAAAAGACCACAAACTTCAAAAGTAGAAATATAGGTTTGAATCCGTTTACGCCTGTGCTCATGACCACATTTTTTGGACCTCTGCCCAGTTTTCAAGGATAATGTATGTGAGGTAAAATACCTGAAGCAGCTCAGCCCTTAGGTCCTCCGCCATCATCAGTTGTCTTGCCATCTTCCTTCTTAGCTAAAGTAGCCGATTGTCCCATGGCACCTGGGAGGTGTATGTGGGTGAATGAGACGTGAGAGAGAGTTGAGAATAATGAAAATTCTGCCTTCTTTCTTCCCAATAGAAAAAGGAGCCACTGATAGGGGAAAAACAGATGTGTGTGTCTTTACCAAATGCAGTGCGCTTTCGCCTGCTGTGCAGTTATTTGTTCTGTACCACAAAGTTTTTTTTTATAATAAATTACTCCATAGTGAAAATGTATCCTTGGTCTTCACTGAGCATTTGTTGGGTAGGTTATAATTTGTTAGGTAACAGTAAAGGGTATTGGATGTACTTGCTCAAAATACAGTGCCGTGTTTTGTTTTGCTTCCTGAATAAATTTTACTTCTCTAACATTTTAATCTCTTTTCCCCTTTAAACCTTTAGCCTCTTAGTAATGCATACCACGAGTTAGCACAAGTGTATTCAACCAATAACCCCTCAGAACTCCGAAACCTGGTGAACAAGCACAGCGAGACGTTTACTCGTGACAACAACATGGGGCTGGTGAAGCAGTGCTTGTCCTCTCTCTATAAGAAGAACATTCAGAGGCTGACCAAGGTGAGGCACGTGGCCCTCGAGGCCATTCCGTCTCCCGCGCCGCTGCCCCCGCCTCTTTCCCTCTAGATGCTGAAGAAGCAGGTGCAGGGGCACAGGGTGTTTGAGATGAGGAACAGGTGGAGAGGAAGACGGGCGGGCGCTACGGCTGCTTTGGGAGGCAGAGGAAGCTAGCCTGAGGGGTAAGCGTTCCGTGGGCAGCTGGGGGCTTCACATAACAACGCAGATGAAGTCCTCGCGAGCAGCCTGGGCCGCTCAGGCTGTGCTGATGTGACGGTCATGGCCATTCAGGCCAGAGGTGAAGAAGCTGGGTGGTTGAACTCTAGAAGATAAGTCAATTATTACTTTTGTTTTCAAAGTGATGGTTTTTGTATATAGAAAATTTTAAAAGAAAAATGAAATCCCATGTGAGCTAGGAAGGCATAACTGCAAGGAATAGGAAACTGACTAAGAGCAGCTTAAAAAATAGAGTATTGTTTTTTCCTTTTGAGAAGTAGTCTGGTCAAGCTGGTTCAGAACTGGTGAGAAGGTGCAGCTGTCTGTGTGTGCCCTCTGCCTTATGTCAGCAGCGGGGTGATGGCGGAGAAGCAGAGGACGAGAGAGAATAGGATGTGTGTTGCTGGGAGGGCCAGGGCCCCAGGTGAAGGGGGGAGCGGAGGAGGATCTGACTGTGAGGGCCCAGAGGAGCTGAAGGGAAATGATGAGTTGGGCTGGTCGTGGAGGCAGCGTCAGACCGCACGGAAAAGAGGGAGGGAGGTGAGGAGTGGCCACCGGACAAGGAAAGGAAGCGCCCAAATACCAGGGAGTAGCTAGCTAACATGAGGAGGTCAACAGAGAATTTGTAGAAAGCTAATTTTTAAGAGGAAATAAAGAATGTGAAAGCCACTAAAAAAAAACAAACAAAAAAAACCACAAATATTAACTTGTCAGCCGGAGGAAAACCAACTTGACCCACAGACAAAAAAGACCGGGATCTAAGGGACTCAGAATAACAAGCAGCCTGGTTCTCCCCACAATATTTCCTCTTTGGTCCAGGGGCCAACAGAACCACTCTAAGTAGATCCCTGTCTCACCAGCTGGAGGTAGAAGACCAGCACCCCATTTGTGACTAGTACTTGAGGTTTAAGTAAAAGAATCAAAATATTACCAAGGTTAAATGACAGTGTATTTTAAAAAAATTTAAGTGCAGAAAGTTAAATAACAGTTAAATGAGGAATTAGAACTTAAACAATCTAGGAAGTAGGTAACTCTGCAAAAACCATCAATTAACAGTGTGAAGCAGTCAGCCCCAGTCCAGCCCTGGGAAGTAAGCTGGTAGTTTCTACTCTGATTCAGATCAGATCAGTCCAAAACATGAGTTTGACCACATGAACAGGAAGAGCCTCAGGTGGTCAGCCAGGGGCGGGGCTGTGGCTCAGTCTTGTATGTGCTGACTCATGGTTGATTGGGGTCCGCTGGGCTGAAAAGCACTGCCCGGGGGACATAGAGGAGGGACAGTGTCATTAAAGGATGCGTCTAAGGTTAAGTCTTTGATGGTGGCTGTTAAACGTTTTGGCATTCTGTCCTTATGCCAGAATAACAGAGGGGGAAACATCTAAGGTTTTTCTACCCAGCATGTCTCTTTCCTTTCGAAAGTCAGAAAATAAAAGCTTTGTAAGAAGTCTCAACAGGTAGACTGTCAGTGACAGGAGCCATGTCCCATAGCATTGCTGTCTAGAATGCAACTAGGGACAGGTTATCACATGGAGGTTGAATCTACTCCATGTTAGCATTTTGGTGGAAGTTTTGACTCCTCTTCTCCATCTTCTGTCTATATGCCTATGTGGGAACTCCCAGTTAAGTGTGATTGGGATCATATTCTTCATGCTGTTTTCTACTCTGCTTTTTTTGTTCAATATGTCTTAACCCTCTTTCTTCCCTGGCAACATAAGCCTCTATCACAGTACTGTGTCAGTAACAGTAGTCTATTGTACGGTGGATCGTAATTCATTCAACCAATCCTCGATTGATGGGCATTCCGGTGGCAGTTTCTAGTTAAAAGAACATTGACAGTTCTATGTATTTAGAAATGTTCACTTTTGAATTTTCCTTCGTGTTAAGCTACTTATGTACTTAAAATTAACAATTTTATTTTCTTAGGTGCTATTCTCCAAACTAAAGTATATGTAGATTTTTTTGGTCAAGAATTTTTAAGATCAGCCAAAACCGGTTTAGCTCGGTGGATAGAGCATCGGCCTGCAGACTGAAGGGTCCCAGGTTCGATTCCGGTCAAGGGCATGTACCTTGGTTGCGGGCACATCCCCAGTAGGGAGTGTGCAGGAGGCAGCTGGTCGATGTTTCTCTCTCATCGATGTTTCTAACTCTCTATCCCTCTCCCTTCCTCTCTGTAAAAAATCAATAAAAATATATTTAAAAAAAAAAATTTTAAGATCAGAGTTTTAATGTGTCCTGCTGTAAAAATGCCATTATTATAAATATTGCTGATTTTTCTTTAAGGAGGGGGGGCGGGGACTCTTTTATTTATTTATTTTTTTAATGTATTTTTATTGATTTCAGAGAGGAAGAGAAAGGGAGAGAGAGAAAGAGAGAGAAGCATCAATGATGAGAGTCATTGATCAGCTGCCTCCTGCAGGCCACACACTGGGGATCCAGCCTGCAGCCTGGGCATGTGCCCTGACCGGGAATCGAGCTGTGACCTCCTGGTTCATAGGTCAATGCTCAACCACTGAGCCAGGCCAGCCGGGCAGGAGCTCTTTTAATTTGTTCTTGGAAGAGATAGTTTCATCATGTCCCAAGCAGAGCAGTGATAAACACTGGTTTTTGAAGGATTCATATTTATTTAGTCAGTAATAAGTTTACAATACAAAATTCAAAAGATAGAAAAATGCCCACCCAGTTCATATATTCCAGCCTCCCCTTTTTCTTTACCCAGAGGCCACCCAGTGTCAGCAGTTCCCGGGGCACCAGATTGTCTGTGCATGTACAAGAGTGCTCTCTCCCACTCGCTCTCACACACACTGTTTCCCTCTCTTTTACATACATGTTAGGTGCACTGTTCTGCATCCTTTTTTATATTTAACCATGTACATATCTTGGATTCTTTTTTGATTCATAGAAAAGTCTCACTTCTTAGTTTTTGTTACAACCGCATTGCAGTGCGTTTATATAATAGTGCTGTGCTGCTCTCTGCTGACGGACCCAGAGGTGGTTCCCGCCTTTTGCTGTTGCCAACAGTACTGCAGTGATAACCGTGCGCGCGTGTCATCTCAGACACAGAGGCTGCACTTCTAGAAGTCATTGCTCTGGAAAAGTGGTGCCAAAACCACTGGGCTCATCCGTGTCAAGTCCTCTTCACAACAAAAGTCACTTTGTGCAGCGATGGAAAGCACTTGTTCAGTGATTGAGTAGAACTCTATACACGTTGAATAAAATTTATTTTCGCAGTAGTTTCTACCTGTGATTAATTCTGCTTTTGAATTTCAGACCTTTTTAACACTATCATTACAAGATATGGCAAGTCGTGTGCAATTATCTGGACCACAGGAGGCAGAAAAATATGTCCTGCACATGGTAAGTGTGCTTTCATTGTTAAAACTTATTAGTGGATTTCTGTGTTTGTGGAAGTAACAGGTGTTCATTATGGAAAATGTGAAAAAGGAGAAGGGGGTTGGGGAACATCCAAAGTCAACTTCTGTGGACATTTTGGTTTATTTCCTTAACGATCTATGGGTTTCTCTAATCATGTAATTATAATGATTTATAGGGTGCATCCTCTTTGTGCGCATGTCAATTTTTGTAAACATTTAAAACACTCATGAAATTTTTTTTTCTTTATTGATTGATTGATTTCAGAGAGGAAGGGAGAGGGAGAGAGAGCCAGAAACATCAATGATGAGAGAGAATCATTGATCGGCTGCTTCCTGCATGCCCCCTACCAAGCCCACAACCTGGGCATATGCCCTTGACCGGAATTGAACCTAGGACCCTTCAGTCCACAGTCCGATGCTCTATCCACTGAGCCAAACAGGCTAGAGCATCATGAAATATTTATGATATACAAAGAGGCATAAAGCCGTGTTCCTCAGCATACTGGTGCATGATCAAGTCATGAACTTGGGCCCATATGGAGGTCAGGGCATTGCTTCCATCACCGTCAGAGTCCTGCTCAGGGATGCAGTATGCTCAGTGACAGCACTGACTGCGGTCTCCCTCGAGCCCCTTCTGCACTTAGAATAGTTTTGCTATAAAGGGTGCTAGAACGGGCACTCCTATGTGCCGCAGCCAGCTTCAGAAATCAGATATTACCAGTATACCTGACACCCCTGTGTGTCACTTCCAGTTGTATCTCCCCACTCCATATTTGGATAAGCATCATTTAGTTGACTACATGGTAACCCACTGAGTTGATATACTGTAATCTACCTCCTGCTTAGTTATGGAGATACATGGCTCTACCAGAACAGACCTGTCCTGGCCCAAGACAGCCGGTCTGCAGGAAGCTAGATCTGCATGTTCTGCTCTGACCTCCCCTGTGGCTCAGAAGCCTGCCACATCAGGATGAGGAGGAATACAACTGTTTTCCATTGGATAGTGGAGTAGTTTATTCCCATAGTCCAATTTGCAAATGTTTTGAGATTTTTTTTCCCTTCAAAACACTCATCCCAAACAAAACTTGTCTGACTTAACCAACCTGGGAGTGTCTGCTAAGAGCACCTTGCTAATAACCCTGTGGGAAGCCACAGAGCCTCCCAGGGGTAAGAAGAAACACATGGGTGGTGATGACCCAGTCAGGACATAGGCATCTGCAAAATGCTTTGAGGGGTCAGAGAGGGGGACGGGTTTTGAACACTGCCTAACCAACCCAGACACAGCCTGTCAGGCCTGGGTCCGCAGCGGGGTTTGTGTGCTAGCGGACATTTGGCAAGGCCTGCAGACATTTCTGGTTGCCTCCGCTAGGCTGTCCCTACTTGTGTCTAGTGAGTAGAGGCCAAGGATGCTCTTGAATGTCTTAAATGCATAGGAGAGCCACGCAGCAAAGCATTCGCTGGCCCAAAGTGCCAGTACTGCCGAGCTCGGAAAAGCCTGGCCTGGGTGTTAGTCCATGAGGGCGTGATTTTGTTTAGAGCAGTTTGAAATTCAAAACAAAATTGTGGGGAAGATACAGAGATTTCCCATTAACCCCTGTCCCCACGCAAGCACAGCCTCCCCCATTGTCATCCTCCCTCACCAAAGCGGTGCATGTGTTACAGCAGAGGAGCCCAGGACACACCATCGCCGCCCAGAGTCCAGGGTTTGCGTTGGGTTCACTCTTGTACATTCTGTGGGTTTGGACAATGTGTAACTATACATACCCATCATTATGGTCTGACCCGGTAGTGTCCCGGCCCTACACGCCCGCTGTGCTCTGCCTGTGCGTGTCCTCTTCCCCACCCCTGGCAGCCACTGCCCTCACTCCCACAGCTTTGCGTCTCCACAAGGGCCTCTGGTGGGACTCACACAGGGGCAGCCTTCCCCTGGCTGCTTCCCTCAGGATCTGCACCGCTTGACAGCTCATCTGTTTGCAGTGCTGAGCAACAGTCCACGGTCTGATATGGTCCAGTTTACTCATTCATCTTGGTTGCTTTCAAATATAAATAAAACTGCTATAAACATCCTTGTACAGGGTTTTGTGTGGACATAAGCTTTTGACTTGATTTAGTAAATACCAAAAAGTGTGATAGCTGGACCATATGGTAAGAGTGTCTAAATGCCATCGCCATACCCAGGACATCTAGGATTTCTCCTGTGTTATCTTCCAGGAGTTTCATAGTTTTGCATTGACCTTTAGGTCTGTGACCTGTAATTTCTGTGGAGGGTGTAGGTCTGTGTCTAGGTTCTTTCTCTGCATGTGGATGTGCAGTTGTTTTAGCTCCCTTTGTAGAAAAGGCTGACTTTGCTAACTACTTTGTTCTTTTCAAATCAGCACGGAGATAGGAATTTTGAGTTTCTTCTCTTTTTCTTTTTTCTGTAACTAGTATAGCAAGCACTGGTTTGTGTGTTTTGTTTTTTGAATAAAATAATAAAAACAAAAGATAGGCCACTGTGGTCTGCATGACATCAGAAAGCAAATGGTGATATCAGAGCAATGTGTACCCCAGTGTGTGTTGCCATAATTTGCAATTCGGCTTAACAGTGCACCCAGTCTGTATTTGCATTTTGATAGTATTTAAGCTCTCTGTACAGTGTTTGCATGTATTTATATGGTTCTTAGGGGGGAAAAATGCTATAAACTGACAAATCTGAAATTCAGATATGTTGTTCCACTGAGACAGGAAGAGTAGGAGTTTGAAAAGATGGAAAAAAGGGATAATTTTTTGGAACCAATAAAACTTGTTGCTGATGAGCAGAACTCAGTACTGCTGTGCACTGAGAATAAAGCCTGTGCTTGATGGTATTGCCTGTGCTCCTGTCAAAGATCCAGGGACTGTTTATGTGGCTCTATTTCTAGGCTCTTGATTCTGTCCCACTTATGTATTTGTCTTGATTACTGTAGCTTTATAATAAGTCTTAAAAGTCATGTAGTGTCCGTCTTCAAACTTCGTCCTCCTTTCATATTGTATGGCTTTTCTGTGTCCTTTTATCTCTCCACATAAACTCTCTCTCCACATGGTCAGTTTGTCAATATCTGTAAAATAACTGGCTGTGATTTTGATTGAGATTGCATTGAATCTATAGATCAAGTTGGGAAGAACTGACATCTTGATAATATCAAGTCTTTGTAGCCATGAACATGAAGTAGTTCTCAGTTTATTTAGTTCTTTGATTTCCTTCATCAGATTTTTGTAGTTTTCCTCAGATAGATCTTACAGATATTTTGTTGGATTTATTCCTCAGTATTTCATTTTGGGGGATAGGGACGCACATGTAAATGGTATTGCTTTAAATTTCAGGTTACACTCGTTCATTGCTGCTTTATACAAAAGCAGCTGCCTTCTGTGTATTACTCTTGAATCCTGCAGCCTTGCTATACTAGTAATTGCAGGAGTTTTGGTTGGTGGGGGTAATACTTGCAGATTTTCTGCATAGATGGTCATGTCTTCTATGACCAGAGATAGTTCTTTCTTTTTCACAATATATATATATATATATATATATATATATATATATATATATATATATCCCCTTTTTTATCTCACTGTGTTAGCAAGAACCTCCAGTGCGGTGCTGCAGAGGGGTGTGTGATGCCTCGCTACGCACCTTGTGGGGATCTTCAAGTCTCTCACCAGGCGATACTCGCTCTAGGTTTTTTGTGGATATTTTTCATCAGGTGGAGGAAATTCTCTCTCCCTAGTTACTGAGTGTTTTTATCATGAGTGGGTATTGGATTTTATGAAATGCTTTTTCTGCATATGTTGATTTGACCATGGTCTTTTTTTAGCCTGCTGACATGATGAGTTAACATCAATGTTTTACCAGCCTTGCACACCTGGAATAAATCCCACTTGGTTTTGGTGTATAATTCTTTTTACATATTGTTGGATTGGCTTATATGTTGAGTATTTTTGTATCTATGTTCATGGGAGAGTGAACATTGTAGTACTTTTCTTGTAATATTTTTGTCTGACTTTGGTATTAGGGTAATGCTGGCTTCATAGAATGGTGTGGGAAGTGTTCCCTCTGCCCCTGTCCCCTGAGAGAGATGGTAGACATTGGCCTGACTTCTCCCTTCCTCGTCTGGTGGCCTCACCAGGGAGCCTTTCTGGGACTGGTGCCGTAAAGTAAACCTTTTATTGACGTGTAGCCCACGTAGGGAAGAGTGCGACCAGCACCCAGGTCCTAAGCCAGAATGCCGCCAGAACCCAGGAACCGCGCTCATGCTTCCAGACCTGCTCTGGCCAGAAAGGTTATTATTGTCCTGACTTCTCACATCCTTTTCTAGTTGTGTTTGTTTTGAGCTTTGTCTATAATAATAAAAGTGTGATATGTAAATAAGACCGGACGACCTTCCAGACGCAGCTGGGGCTGCGAGGGAAGCCCTGGTCCCGGGTGCCAGAGGGAAGCCGGTGCCGGCAGCCGGGGGAAGGGAGGCCTACTCTTGCAGGAATTTCGTGCATTGGGCCTCTAGTATAAAATAAAATGAAACATACAGTATATATTTTTTGGGACCTGGCTTTTGTGCTTAACCTGAGATTCATACATGGTGTTATATGTAGTTTTACTAGTAGTTCATCCATTTTCAGGGATCCACGGTACGAGTATACCCTTCCATTCTAATTAGATGAACATGGTTATTACAGAAAGTGCTGCTGTGGTGGACCTAAGTCTGCATTTCAAATATTTGGATATATTCCTTCCACTTTTTAAAGAGGCAGCTCTCTGTAGTCACTTGGAGAATTAGGCACTCTTTTTCGTGTGTGTTGGGCTGGTTGCTGTATCACTAAACAGGACTTGTCCTTCCCAAGGCTAGAAAGGAGCAGACCGGTGTAGGGAGCTCAGTGATAGATGGCTCATTGTCGCCACCCTGTGGAGCACTTTTGTTAGGAATAACAGTACCTGTTTGGGACTTCTATTGGCTTCTTGCTTTTTAACTTCATGGACAGGATTTGGCTGTGAGGATCCATCAAATAGATACCCAGTCATTGGTGCAACTAAAGAACATAGACCTTGAAGCCACCTTGGAATCAGCATTGGCAGAAACGTTTTCTTGAAGGACCAGAAAATAATTTCTACTGGGGTGAAGCAAAAATGTGTTAGCATTTCAGTTTTAAAACGCAAGGGCAATGTCAATGATATACAATGAAGCTAATCTTTAAAGATGCAAGGGCAGCCTCGGCCAGTGTGCTAATGGTTTGAGTGTCCACCCAGACACTGAAGGGTCCCGGGTTCAATTTCCCAGTCAAGGGCACATACCTGGGATGCAGTTTCCATCCTCAGCTCGGGCATGTGTGGGAGGCAACCAGTCGCGCTCTCTCTCACATCAATGTTTCTCTTTCTCTCTCTCTTTCTTCCTCTTCCCCTTCCTCCCTCCCTTCCATTCTCTCTAAAAATCAATGGCATGTCACAGCTGGTTTGGCTTAGTGGGTAGAGCATCAGCCTGCAAACTGAATGGTCCCAGGTTCGATTCCAGCCAAGGGCACATGCCCAGGTTGTGGCTCGATCCCCAGTAGGGGGCGTGCAGGAGGCAGCCGATCAATGATTCTCTCTCATCATTGATGTTTGTATCTCTCTCTCCCGCTCCCTTACTCTCTGAAATCAATAAACATATATTAAAAAAATAAAAATCAGTGGCAAAAATATCCTTGGGTGAAGATTAGCAAAAATAAATAAAGATGCAAGGGCAGTTTGAAAGCGTTATGCTAGGGGAAACAAGACACAAAAGACACATATTGTCTGATTCCATTTATAGAAAGGTCTAGAAGAGGCAATTCCATAGCGCAGAAAGCAGGTTAGGGGCTGAGAGGATGGGAGAGCAGGGAGTACTGCTCAGTAGGTGTGGGTTTCCTTTTGGGTGATGAAAATGTTTTGGAATTAGATAGAGGTGGTAGTTGGCACAACACTGTGCATGTACTAAATACCACTAAATTATACACTTTAAAATGGTTAATGACTTTTACCTCACATGTAAAATAAAATACAAATAAAACAATGTAAGGGCATGGATTTTTATGAGTGTATTAGTTTTACACCCCCTGCCATCTATAATGGTGCCTAGAACATTCTCAGAATTCAGTAAATACTTGTTGAAAAAACAGTTGTGCTTAAAATACACATATAAATGTATGTATTTATTGCTTTCTGTGCTTTGCCCTGGTTATATTGAATCACTATAATTCCCATAGTGTTCAGGTCTAAACTTCTTCCCTGATTTTTTTTATAGATAGAAGATGGTGAAATTTTTGCAAGTATTAATCAGAAGGATGGTATGGTCAGTTTCCATGATAACCCTGAAAAATATAATAACCCGGCCATGCTTCATAACATCGATCAGGAGGTAAGCATGAGCGTCCGGGTTTGATTTTTGGATTGGTGTTTGAGATGTTGTGTTTGAAACACTGTCCCTGTGCTCCAGGATAATCTTAGTATAAATGCAGGCAGTTCCCAACGAGCTTCTAGGAGCACTTTAGTTCCTCGAAAGGTAATTACAAAATGGGCTGCTTCGCCTCTTCAGGATCATTGGTTATAGTGAATGGTGGGGTAGAGTGCCCATGTCGCTCAACAAAGCCTGCTCTGACTCCTCAGTCATCTGAAGGGTCTTACAATCAGTATGATTTTATCCACACTTAACTGGCACCTATGAGGTAGAGCAGGGGTGCGCAAACTTTTTGACTCCAGGGCCACAATGGGTTCTTAAACTGGACCGGAGGCCGGAACAAAAGCATGGATGGAGTGTTTGTGTGAACTAATATAAATTCAAAGTAAACATCATTACATAAAAGGGTACGGTCTTTTTTTTTTTTTAGTTTTATTCATTTCAAATGGGCCGGATCCGGCCCGCGGGCCTTAGTTTGCCCACGGCTGAGGTAGAGTCTTGTTGCTGTGGCCAAATGGATTCAGAGTTCCAGGTCGGGTCGGAGACCACCTGCAGGAGTCGGGTGGAGGGAGGAAGGCTGTCCCCCACGAGCTGCTCTGAGTGCCGCTGGTTCTGCAGACGAGTCGGGATTGTGTGGATGGTCTGTGCTTCTCACCTCAGATTAAGGCAATGAATTGAACAAAGCCTTACATCTCAAAAGCGTAACTTTTGACGCTTACATCTCAAAAGCAGACTTCGAGTTTTCAGGGTTTTCCCAACTTTGAATTGGAGATAAGGAACTGGGGAAGGACACTGTGCATTGCTTGTTTTTTTGGTAATTCATTTGACGGCAAATGTCACCTGACATGATTTATATTTATTTATCCTACTTAGTCTGCATGTTTTTAGGTTTTACTGCAAATGACAGTGTGTTTGATTAGGGAGTGCTTCCCTAGGTCCTACTCCTAGGACTGTATTAACTTTCTGAATTCAACAATTCTGACTCCAAAGCTTGCCTAGCTCCAGTGGTTTCAGGTCAAGGGATTGTGAACCTGTAGCACGCACGTTAACAGTCTAGGTTCCCATTGACCTACACCTGCATGCTAACCGCCTGTACCATGTCCATCCCACAGATGCTGAAGTGCATAGAGCTGGACGAGCGGCTGAAGGCGATGGACCAGGAGATCACAGTGAACCCCCAGTTTGTGCAGAAGGTATTTGATGAGGGCTCCCCTCATTAACTAGAAGTGGGCTGGGTAGAGAAGGAGGGCTGTTCCCACAGGAGGACTGTGAACTCAGTTTCAGGCTCAAGGTTTAGCTGCTGGGAGTTCTTGAAAACCTTCCTGAAAGTTCACAGAGACACTGTTGAGAGCGTTTTCACACTACAGACTGCTTAGGGGGTGCAGAGGGCGGTCCCTGGACTGGATTCCTCTCCATGCTCACGAGGGTCATGCTGTGCACAAAGAAACGGGGCCCTGTCCTTTGGGAGGCCCACAGGTGCTTGTTGGGGCCGGTGGGAAACTTGACAAGGGCCAGCTTAAATGCACTGCCTCCCTCTCCTTACAGAGCATGGGGTCACAAGAAGATGATTCTGGAAACAAGCCATCCAGTTATTCTTGAAACAAATGGCCGTCCTGATTTAAACAAGAGGAACTATCACCATGGCCAGTAGCAACTATTAGAAGGGCAGCAGGGAGGACTACGCCTGTTTCACCTGGACATTAAGAAATTACATTTTGTTTTGACTTCTTCAGCCCTATGTGCTTTCAGAAAACCATTCTCTCTGCAAAGGGGAAAAAACAAACTTTAAAGTCTGTTGTGGATTTATTTATCCTCAGATTAATGTTGTCATTGCATTAAATCTACCCTTTTGTTTTAAATTACGTAAACATTGATGTGTCTTTTGCATCACTTTTTTTCCATCTGAAAAGTTTTTGAAAACATTCATTTTGAACAGAAATTGATTGTAGAAACTTTTGGAGATTTTGATCTAAAGTTGATATGAGCGGCCATAAGACAGAGTATTTTATAATTAAAATGAACATGCATTTTAGTAACTTTGCAGGCCAGAAGTATGGATTGTGAATTAGAGAGATGCTGTTGCAGTGCTTCTAACCTCGGGTGTGTGCGGCACACGCGCTGTGAGAGTGGCGTTTCCTGCGGCAGGTGCCAGGCTGGCCCTCTTCCTCAGAGCGTTTCCAGCCACACTGGCAGCTGCTTCCTCATGGTTCAGGCCACTCCTCCGCAGAGCTCGAGGCCTCTGACGGTTCACGGATCTAGCAGGGAATGGGGGGGAGCCTTTGAAAAGGGGATCAGATTAAACTAGAATTTGATCCATAAAAAAAGTTTCTCACTAGCAACATCCACGTTTTTAAATGTGTTAACTTGTGTAGTCAGCCACTTCTCATTGTTTACAAAAGGAAACTCTGGAACCTCATGAGTCACGTAAAAAGTGCCCCTAATAGAGAGGCTGAGGGGGTCCTGTGGTCGTATGATAGCCATTCTGCTTTGCTGCCGAAAGCAGCCACAGTGTCCATGCGTCAGTGAGCAGTGCCCTGTGTTCCCGAGGCTGGGCTTGACCCTGACTAAACTTGCGTCCTCCGGCTCACATGAGTCCCCCTGTCCCTTACAACGCAGTGACTTCACACCTGGCAGATTGCACATCTTCATCCGCCCCTTTTCACCCATCCCATCTGGCAGCCAGCAGAATGCTCTCTGTATCTGTGACTGTTTCTGTGTTGTTTGTTTGTTTATTGGGGTGACAGTGGTTAATAAAATTGTATAGGTTTCAGGTGTACAACTTTATGTACACCCGCAGTTCCAGTTGGGTCCTGGGAGGTGAGCTACACTCCTGCCTCCTCCGCACCATCCTGGATTCTCTGACTACTTCACTAGTGAATGCCCTCCAGGACCCTCCATGTTGCAGGCAAGGTGTTTCTTTTCTTTTTTTTTTTAATTAAATCTTTATTGTTCAGATTATTACATTTGTTCCTCTTTTTTCCCCCCCATAACTCCCCTCCTCCCAGTTCCCGCCCCACCCTCCGCCCTCACTCCCCACCCACTGTCCTCATCCATAGGTGCACGATTTTTGTCCAGTCTCTTCCCGCATCTCCCACACCCCTTTCCCCCGCAAGAATAGTCAGTCCATTCCCTTTCTATGTCCCTGATTCTATTATGATCGCCAGATTATTTATTCACTTGATTCTTCGATTCACTTGTTGATAGATGCATATTTGTTGTTCATAATATGTATCTTTACCTTTTTCTTCTTCCTCTTCTTAAAGGATACCTTTCAGCATTTCATATAATACTGGTTTGGTGGTGATGAACTCCTTTAGCTTTTCCTTATCTGTGAAGCTCTTTATCTGACCTTCAATTCTGAATGATAGCTTTGCTGGATAAAGTAATCTTGGTTGTAGGTTCTTGCTACTCATCACTTTGAATATTTCTTGCCACTCCCTTCTGGCCTGCAAAGTTTCTGTTGAGAAATCAGCTGACAGTCGTATGGGTATTCCCTTGTAGGTAACTGGGTTTCTTTGTCTTGCTGCTTTTAAGATTCTCTCTTTGTCTTTTGCTCTTGGCATTTTAATTATGACGTGTCTTGGTGTGGTCCTCTTTGGATTCCTTTTGTTTGGGGTTCTCTGCGCTTCCTGGACCTGTAAGTCTATTTCTTTCACCAGGTGGGGGAAGTTTTCTGTCATTATTTCTTCAAATAGGTTTTCAATATCTTGCTCTCTCTCATCTTCTGGCACCCCCATAATTCTGATGTTGGTACGCTTGAAGCTGTCCCAGAGGCTCCTTACACTATCTTCATATTTTCAGATTCTTTTTTCATTTTGTTTTTCCGGTTGGGTGTTTTTTGCTTCTTCGCATTTCAAATCTTTGTCTTGATTCTTGCGCTCCTCTGGTCTGCTGTTGGGTGTCTGTATAATATTCTTTATTTCAGTCAGTGTATGCTTAATTTCTAGTTGGTTCTTTATCACAACATCGAGGGTCTCATTAGATTTCTTGAGGATCTCACTACATTTATCGGTGGTCTCACCAGTCTTTTCGAGGGCCTTACTAAGTTTACCGGCAGCTTCTAGACAGTTCTTGAGAGACCTTAAAAGTGTGGTTTTGAGCTCTATATCTTCCATTTCTGACATTTGCGTCCTGTTTCTTTGTCTCCGCATTTTTTTATGTTTTCTTGGTGCACCCCTAGTGGTGTTTGTGGGCAGTCTTGTTGTAGTTAAGCCTTGATTGTCGGCAATACCGGGGGTGATTTGACCTCCAGGCTAACTGGCTATGAGAGTCAGCTGTGTCTGCAGTGGGAGAGCTTCTGTGCTGGATCTCTAGGGCGGTGCTAATCTAGCTTTTGCCTGAGGCTATCTGGCAAATGGCTCTGCGCAGGGCTTGGGCGGGGCGGGTCCCTGGGGATCTACAAGGAGGGCGGAACAAGCAGTTATGGCTGCTCTCAGTCCAGTCCGCAGAGGCTCTGCCTCTCAGAGTCCCAGCAACTGCTGCAAACTTCGGACGGAGAGCTGCCTTCGAGTTCCGACTGAAGCCAGACAGTCCCGCTTCTCCCGTTTGAGTCTGGGTCCCTAAAGACTCTCCCGGATCTGGAGCTCAGAGTCTGAAACTCCCTCCCGATTGAAAACAACCTCGCCCTCTGCCGCCAGCCCGCTCCGCGCGTGTACTTCGCACCTGAGTATTTCACTTCAGCACTGCGCCTCCTGTGAGTCTGGGTATGATATTCTCTTTCCTCCTAGTTGTAGAATTTCCACTCAGCCAGCCTTCCTGTGGTTCTGAATGATGTCCATTCTGTCCTTTAGTTATATCTCTGAAGTGGTTGTTCAAGGCAGCAATCTCCGGCGTTAACCTATGCCACCATCTTGGTTTCTCCGGCAAGGTGTTTCTTTATGGCTGAGTAATAAGTATTCCCTTTATTCATTCATCTATCAATCGACACTTAGGTTGCTGCCGTATCTTGGCTATTTTAAATAATGCTTCAGTAGACATGGGATGCAAATGTCTCTCCGAATTAGTGTTTCAGGTTTCTTTAGAGAAATACTCAAAAGTGGAACTGCTGGGTCCTTCTTTACCTCTTGTTACAGCTTTTGTCTCTTTTGTTTTTTAATTAAATCTTTATTCAGATTATTACATTTGTTCCTCTTTTTTCCTCCCCATAACTCCCCTCCTCCAGTTCCCGCCCCACCCTCCGCCCTCACTCCCCACCCACTGTCCTCATCCATAGGTGCACGATTTTTGTCCAGTCTCTTCCCGCATCTCCCACACCCCTTTCCCCCCCAAGAATAGTCAGTCCATTCCCTTTCTATGTCCCTGATTCTATTATAATCACCAGTTCATTCTGTTCATCAGATTATTTATTCACTTGATTCTTAGATTCACTTGTTGATAGATGCATATTTGTTGTTCATAATTTGTATCTTTACCTTTTTCTTCCTCTTCCTCTTCTTAAAGGATACCTTTCAGCATTTCATATAATCCTGGTTTGGTGGTGATGAACTCCTTTAGCTTTTCCTTATCTGTGAAGCTCTTTATCTGACCTTCAATTCTGAATGATAGCTTTGCTGGATAAAGTAATCTTGGTTGTAGGTTCTTGCTACTCATCACTTTGAATATTTCTTGCCACTCCCTTCTGGCCTGCAAAGTTCCTGTTGAGAAATCAGCTGACAGTCGTATGGGTATTCCCTTGTAGGTAACTGGGTTTCTTTGTCTTGCTGCTTTTAAGATTCTCTCTTTGTCTTTTGCTCTTGGCATTTTAATTATGATGTGTCTTGGTGTGGTCCTCTTTGGATTCCTTTTGTTTGGGGTTCTCCGCGCTTCTTGGACCTGTAAGTCCATTTCTTTCACCAGGTGGGGGAAGTTTTCTGTCATTATTTCTTCAAATAGGTTTTCAATATCTTGCTCTCTCTCATCTTCTGGCACCCCTATAATTCTGATGTTGGTACGCTTGAAGCTGTCCCAGAGGCTCCTTACACTATCCTCGCATTTTTGGATTCTTTTTTCATTTTGCTTTTCCGGTTGGGTGTTTTTTGCTTCCTCGCATTTCAAATCGACTTGATTCTTGCGCTCCTCTGGTCTGCTGTAGGGAGTCTGTATAATATTGTTTATTTCAGTCAGTGTATGCTTAATTTCTAGTTGGTTCCCCATCATAACATCGAGGGTCTCATTAGTTTTCTTGTAGATCTCATTAATTTTATCGGCGGCTTCTAAACAGTTCTTGAGAGACCTTAAAAGTGTGGCTCTGAACTCTATATCTTCCATTGACAGTTTTGTCCTGTTTCTTTGTCTCCGCATTTTGTTATGCTTTCTTGGTGCACCCCCTAGTGGTCTTTGTGCGCAGTCTTGTAGTTAAGCCTTGATTGTTGTAGCTAATACCAGGGAGGGTTTGACCTCCAGGCCAAGTGGCTGTGAGAATCAGCTGTGTCTGCAGTGAGAGAACTTCTGTCCTCTAGGGAGGTGCTAATCTAGCCTTTGCCTGAGGCTATCCGGCAAATGCCTCTGTGCAGGGCTTGGGCGGGGCGGGTCGCACAAGATCAACAGGGTGGGCCGGAGAGAGCAGTTATGGCGGCTCTCAGTCCTGTCCCCAGGGGCTCTGCCTCTCTGAGTCCCAGCAACCGCTGCAAACCTCAGAGAGAAAGCTGCACTCGCTCTGACCGAAGCCAGACAGTCCCACTTCTCCCGTTTGAGTCTGGGTCCCTAAAGACTCGCCCGTGTCTGGAGCTCAGAGTCTGCGGCTCCCTCCCGATTGAAAACGCCAACCGCGCCCTCCGCCGCCAGCCCGCTCCGCGCACTCCGCACCTCAGAATTTGACTTCAGCACTGCGCCTCCTCTGAGTGTCCGTATGCGTTTCTCTTTCCTCCTAGTTGTAGGACTTCCACTCAGC